GCATCTAGCGATCGTACCAATACCTAATAATTTACAATACTTGTCTAAATACCTAATTTATCTACGACTAATTTATCTATGACTATCCTTACGACTAGTCTCCATAAGGAATTTAGAAGTTATAGTTGTCATTTTTCAATACAATTAGACAATCAATTGTACCCTGACACAACAAGCAGATCGTTACTACAAAAATTAAATTGAAATTAACAAACGTACCTAATTGGGTACTCACACAAATATAAACACTATTACATCGTTACTTATTTATTTATTTTAAGTACACCAACGATTGTTACAGCAATCCAGAAATAGTAAACACACATCCACTTATATACTAATTGTGCAATCAATTAAAGGTATACACCGCATGTGTCGTTACTAAAAAGTTACCTATTAATTCTTTTACTAATCGTTTTTGAATGCGTTCTATACGAGGTGTGTGAGTAGTATAATGTCGACGCCAGACCATACTTCCATACTCAAGGATCGATCTGACCAAGCTATTTTTGAGGAATAGCGCTTGAATACTCTAGCGTTCCTGATAATAAAATTCAACATCTTGGACGCCCCTTTATGTCTGTATGATGTATGTCAATATGTAGGACAAATCTCAATTTACTATCCATAAGCACCCCCAGATCCCTTACCACTGTCTTTTCTCCTAATCGAATTTCATTAATGCTGTGGACGGATAGAATAGGATTCAATTTTCTAGTGAATTAAATGTGAACACATTTATTGATATTGCTCCATTCCATTCGTCTGACACCATTTCACTGGCCCGTCAAGATCTTCTTGTAAATTCCAAACATCATCTTGCATTTCATTGACTTTCCATAGTTTTGGGTCATCTGCGAACATTGGCGGAGACGAATATTTTATGTAATTAGGTATATCGTTTACAAAGATGTTCCATAAACTGTAGGTAAATATACTCACCCTATTCCGATCACTGATGATAAGTAATGGAAATTAGAGACTGATTGGTACTATTTTTTTTTTTCAAATAAATGTGTACAAATTTACAAGAAAAATTTCTCTTTCACTTACTTTAACGTGACGGCAATTTTTTCTATTGGTGTTATTGCTTGTCTGAATTTTGTATTCTTCTTTGTTATGTCTTTTTCTATAAATGATAATATGTAGTCAAATAAGTACCGATCCGTATGAAAGTAAATGTAGAATTTTTCTTCATCATCTAATAGGTGTCTCTGGATCAGCCAAAATTCTCCTTCTGCATGTCTTGCTTTCAGCATTTTATGCACCCAAAATCTTCGCCTGTTAGTTTTTGCGCTTCGCTCTTCATCCTCAAGTGCAATAGCAATAATTGGTAGTTCGTGCGCTGTGAAGCGGGACATAGTAAAAAATACGAGTTGCTTTAATGGCTTTTAATGGAACTGTGGCTATCGCGAAAATCGAGAGCGGTCGGCGGGTGGATAGCTGGCCGTTTGCTAGCTGTCACCGCGTGGACTGCTGGGTGCCTGCTAGCTGTCACCGCGTGGACTGTGAGCAGTCGTCTTTGTTTAGGGTGGTGTTGGGTGGGAGCAGTGTTGGAGCAGAGTCGTTTAAGTGTGCTATGACCTTTACGCATTATACATTCAGTATAGTGAAATTACAGTTCAACCACACCGTGACACGTCCCCGCCACAATCACACATCATTGTAACGTGAGCAACACTACTTCTCTCAGTGTAACACAAGACAGCCTCTCAGCAACACCATCCCCCTTGCCTGCGCTTGAAGAATTACTACAACTGACTGGCTTAGTCTCTTCTTTTACCGATCCTTGACTACGCGGACACTTGTTATCTTGACCTAACAGTCGAGCCACTTAATAAACTTGAGCGGCTTCAAAATTATTGCATAAGGTTTATATTTGGGTTACGAAAGGATGACCTCATATCCAAATTCCGCCATAAGCTCAAGTGGTTACCGATTCGCCTTCGCAGGAATACTCACATTCTTCATCCTCTTTACTGCATTCTGTTCAATCCGACCACTCCTTCTTATTTGAAAGACCGATTTATATATTTAAGTAGTTTACACTCTTTACCTCTACGATCTCAAAATAATCCCCTTCTAAGTAATCCTAGACATTCCTCTTCCTTCTATTCTAATTATTTAACGGTTACCGCTATACGACTATGGAATTCTCGTCCCTTACATATTAAAGAATCTAAATCTCTTCCTACATTTAAAAATATATTAAAACTTTATTACCTTTCCTCTTAAGTTACTACCTGTCGTCATTCACATTTTTTTTCCTTTAATCACTTATCTTCTTCTATTTATCTTTCTATATTATATTCTGTACACCCCTTCCGCTATCTTTTAAAATAGTATCCTCTGCCTAAAGGTTGCCTGGAAGAGATCGCTGTTTTAGCGATAAGGCCGCCTGTTGTACCAAAGTCCATTTAAATATATAAATAATGTTCCTTGGTGTACAATAAAGTATATTTTACTTTTACTTTACAACGAACAGAACCACGACACTATCTTCTACTACGTCACCTCCCAACACTAATTACAATATTTCGCATGATTCCAACACACCAGTACATCCTATAGGAGCAGATACAAATAATTTAGGAAGAAGAGTTATTTTATCGACAAGTTTACTACATTCTGTTGACGAAGATGTATCGAATTATATACCATTATTAACGCGAATAATGGAAACGATTTAAAATGTAACTACGCCTTGGTCAAAACCACCTAAACCTGTCACGGGAAAAGTCCGTTGTTGTTGAACTTAATATCGATGTGGATACAGTTTCCGAAGACTTTCAAATGGAAGTGATTGACATGCAGAAAAATACCGATTTAAAAAAATGTATTTTTCTGAGTAAACATCGAAAATTTTTATAAATCTTATGTGAGCCCTGAATAATTTTTGGATGAAACCGGATTTGGGTTGTGTGATAAAGAGCTGCATACGGTAACAGACGGAGGATCAAACGTTAAGCGTGCTATTTCGCTGTCTGGTCTTGACAGCCATCTGTGTTTGGGGCATGATTTACATAACCTGGTCATTACTGATGGAATTAAAAATGTCCCTTCTTTGAACGAGATGGTGGAAAAGGTTAAAAAGATTATAAAAGCCATAAGGTTGCCTGAATTGGAAAAAGAAGCGGAAAAAGAGCAAGTGGAGTTTTTACAACTAATCGAAAACGTTTCAGAAGTTCTGGAAAATGACGAAAGTAAACCAATTGGTGACGACGACGATGACGTTTCACAGAACTCGCAAATATTCAACGACGAGTTTGGTAATTTAAACCAAATGCCAAGCATCAAAACGGCAACGCCCACTCATTGGCATAATGTGCTAAACATGTTGGAGAGTTTGGCGCATTGTTGCAATAGGAACCCAGTTAATTCTATTCTCACCAAGATTGGCCAGGAAGATTTGAATCTGGTACAAACCGAATGGAACATGCTGGAAGACTTTATTAGATTTCTTCGGAAATTGCACTAAGCAGATGAAGTTTTATGAGATTATGTTGTTTCTGATGTTTCGCTCAGAATTAAAAGAGATTTTAAATTCAATCTCTGACGAAGCAATCGCTGTGATGATATCGTTAAAAAATAAGATGCTCGAGTAATTTGACCACAGGTTTCCTTTAACAAAGAATGTAATATTGGCATCTCTTGTTGATCCCAGATTTTCAGGATTAAAAGAAATAGATGCATATTTATTGGAAATGAACAAAACCGTGCGGCTTTTCTGGCACATTGCATCAATGAGCTCATTAGGCCCCCTGATCTGCCACATTCCGAATCTGGTGAAGCTTATCTTGATGTATCAGAGCCATAACCAATCTCTTCTTCGACTCAATCTTTGCTGACAAAATTATCGAAAAAGCACTTTAGTTGCAGCAACATTGATGAATCATCAGAGTCAGATTTCTCCCAAGAATGTTGGAGTTATCTAGCGTCGATCGATCGTAGAGAAGTAGAATTCATGAACGGGGTTGTTCTTGCCTATTGGCGGGAGAAAAAAATGTTTTCCCAGGACTATTCTTGTAATTCCTGCAACGAGCAACCTGAGTGAATGTGTTTTTTCAATATCTGGTTTGTATTAAATGCTAAGAGAACACGTTTAGCCCTATTCGCGTAAATAAAATTATTTTCATACACCATAACTACAATCATTGTAAAAAGACATGAATAAAACATTTCACATCCTAAAATTGCGTTTTTTTTTTTACATAAACAGCCACGCCTGCAACAAATTTTTTCCAGCACGCCGCCGCCGACAAATCTTAGGTCGGCGCCCACGTCTATTTGTCCTATATGTATATAAGAGAGACCACATTCACAATCAAGCTTGTACACTCCTTCATCCTGCTAGTTACAATCGAGATGCAGTTTTCAACAGGTAAGTATGTGAACAGAGACTGCACATAAAATCTCGTTGACAAAATGGTAGGAATCCTTCGTGTATGCTCTTGCATGTCCCCTGAGCGGTGAGAGTATTTTCGCTAAGTGTAGAGCCAATCTGTAATTTGGTTAATCGATTTGGCTCACTATGAGACGTAGTGGAGCATTGGGCTTGTGTATTTTTTGTAACCCATACAACTTCGGTGGTTTGGCACACGTAGGTATTATCGATTTTACCCATAGTTGTTTTATGTGTTATTTTTGTAAAAACGACCCAAGTTTTTAACTTTTTCATAAGTGCTTGCATCCAACTAAAGTTCTTGTATTTTAGAATTATAATATGACGTAACCATGACTACCGTGGTATTTCCCTTATCTGCGCGGATAATCGTGAGTTGTGGTTATTCAACGCTCTACATTCGTCTTTGGGTAGATTCGGATGCTGCGCTGAACTTCTACGTAACATAGACGAAATATCTTGACGTATCGCTTCCAAATCTTCCTTTCGCATATTGTTTTTTTTTTTATAGTATAGGGTGACAAATGAGCACACAGTCCACCTGATAGTAAGTGGCTGCTGTGGCCCATAGACATTTACATTTCCCTATTTGAAAAAAATGTCTTCAAAAGACATACACAGTGACTTAGTGGAAACATTGGGGGACTCTGCTCCTCCATATTCTACAGTTGCCCGCTGGGCCAAGGAGTTTAAACTGGGCAGAACATCCACTGAAGATGAACATCGCGAAGGACGCCCATCCACGTCCCTCACTGAAGACAACGTGAAAAAAGTCGAAGATGTTGTGTTGGCAGATCGGAAAGTGACCATCAGACATGTAGCTGAGGTCACAGGGATCTCATATGGCAGCGTTCAAAGAATCCTTGCGAACGAGTTGCATATGAAAAAGGTCTCTGCGCGTTGGGTACCCAGAATGTTAACCGACGAGCAAAAGAAAAATCGAGTTGACATTTCGAGGGTGAATCTCGAAAAGTTCCAAGCAGATCAAGAAAAATTTTTGTTCCGTTTTGTGACTATGGACGAGACCTGGATCCACCATTTTGAACCTGAAACGAAACAACAATCGATGATTTGGAAGCGAGCCTCCTCACCGACGCCAAAGAAATTCAAAGTTTCAAGTTCGGCGGGAAAGGTTATCGCATCTGTTTTTTGGGACGCTCAAGGCATAATTATGGTGGAATATTTGGAAAAGGGAGCCACTATTACGGGCTCTTACTACGCAGACCAAATAAGAAGATTACGGAAGGCCATTAAGAAAAAAAGACGCGGCAAACTGCGAGCTGGAGTGCTGTTTCACCAAGACAACGCACCGGCTCACAAAGCCGCAGTTGCGATGGCTGCCATTCAAGAAACGGGATTCTAACTGCTCGAACACCCTCCCTATTCGCCAGATCTAGCTCCTATAGATTTCTACCTCTTTCCTCGACTCAAGGAACGCCTCCGAGGCAAGAAATTCGAAGACGATAGCGAAGTAATGGCCGCTGTTGAAGCGTTTTGGGAGGGTCAAGACAAAGAATTTTTTTTAAAGGGAATCCAGTTTTTAGAAAAAAGATGGACTAAATGTATTGATTTGTTAGGAGACTATGTAGAAAAATAAATTAATATTTTAACTTTAATTACCGTGTTTTAATTTCATTATCATTACTTTTGGTTCACCCCTCGTATATAAGAATATAGAGAAATACTTACTGATTAAATAAAATAAATGCTTAAAACTCAGAAACAGAGTTTAATTAAGTCAAGTACCGAAATGCGAAGTACATACTTCTGAAATGGAACGTCTTAGAAAAAGGGTAGTTGAGATGCGTTCAAAATATGGTGGTAATAACCCTTGACGTAGAATAAGCATAAATAAATATTAAAAAAAATTTCCTTCTTTATGTAGGATACATCTTTTCATTTAATGTGATAACTTTATCGTCACTCGGTATATATAGTCGACCAGAAACTAATGGTTTGAGTACAAATAATAATGAATGTCAGAATGCGAACACAAAAAACAAAGTAGATAATAAGTTTGTTTCTTGTACCACACGTAGTGGCAGAGTAGTAAAGCCACCTGTGCGTTTTTTTTGTGAATTAGGCCTTAAGCAAATTTAATCAAATGTAACTGCAAATTTGGGTAAAAGTTAACCCATAAAGTAGAATAATTAGCAATAAATTTATGTACAATAGCAACCGATTGACACTACGTAAAATAACGTTCGAAATTATTTTATGGCTATTTTTATATACATGGGCAAGCAACAGTCAAAGAACGCGAACGCGAACGGAAGTAATAATAGCTCAGAACGGAGCTGATCACCAAGCGCAAGCTGAATTACAAAGAAAGCTAGAATCCTACAGTATTGTTACGATGATTGTGATAATTTTGATAATATGTGTAACATGTCTTTACATTTTTTTCCGGAAAGCCGGAAAGAAAATAAAAGGTAAAGTGATCGAGCAAGTTATTTCGAGTATCGAGCAAGGACGCGGGACACAGCTAGCTCAAACAGCAGCTAGTCCAAACGCCAAATCAGCATTAGAGTATTATTAAATAGAGTGTTAAAATAAAATTAAAACTACATAATCTGTTTAGCATTCTTGAGTAGTATATTTACAAAATTAAAATATGTATTACGTGTTTATAGACCTAAACTTTTTTGCAATAAAAGGGTTTCATAGTGGAATTAAAAATGGATGTAAGGAAGTAGAGATAAGTAAGTACTTAAATATATTATTAAGAACATGAAGCATGTAATTTTATATATAATAAATCCGAACCATAAGTCACTTTTTATTTTATAGTATAGTGCAGAACAATTCAATGTAATATACCCGTGACTATTTTTAAATCCGTGATTCGCTGTATTATTATCATAGAAAGTAAGTAGGTCGAGCGATCAAGTAGCAAACAAGCCACGCGTTATCCCATTGTTTAACTTAATAGGCTCTATGCACACTCTGTTTAGTTTTAGCTAGAAGTAAGGCAGAACCGATTTAGATGAAACTTTCAACTTTTAGCTTAATGATGTATTAAATTCATTTTTTTTAAACAGGAGGGAATACTGTAGGTGCTGCTGACGCGGCACACACATGCGTCACCCGTGTCAATGTGTATGTAATTCTCGTGAAATATGATAACGACCGCCACCGGCGGGTCGGCAGTCTGTAAGCGAGTAGTTCAATTCTTTCTGGAGTGTATAAGTATAATGTGAACACACGTCTCAGGTTCGACTAAATGAACCGGCTACAAACTAATGTGAACAGATTAATCATTTTTCTCTCTTCACAAGCTCCTATGATACACTAGCCACCAAGTATCGCAACAATAGTTTATTACAATATACACAAGAGTAGAAGGAAACAAGAAGTGAGAAAGATAGTCAAGATACAGTTAATTAGCGAGAAGTACGAAATTAAACGTTAGCACATTAAGATATTATAAGACTCTTATAAAATAATTAATAGGGAACAATAATCGGGTCGCGTAAGTGTGAGCAGAACACAAGACGGGCAGCCTCTCGTCGCCGCGTATCTGGACCGACTAATGGGCTGGTAGACGTGGGCGTTATTTCACGTCACTAGATACAATAACTGGCTACGCGGCATGTAACCGAATCACTAGTTTCGAGTCATATTACAATAAGTGATTTTTGTAAATGCGTTATTACTGTTAACTGTGATTGTTGCGAGAGCAGACTGTCGGTCAGTCGAGCGCAAAGCGCACATGTGGCATACAACAATAAACAAAACAGCGTATGTAACAGTATTATTGTACGTTCAATTTTCATACATAAGGCTATAGACAAACAATAACATAGAGTGATCTCTGTTTGTAAATAATTTCAACGGTTTGCGATTCCGGGAAGCGAGAGCATTGAATTTAAGTAAAATAATGTAGTCTTTTTCAGTTCATCATTGTACTTGTGTAATTTTGAGTACTCTCTTGTAAAAATTAACATTTATCCATTTAAACGTCCATGGATACTACAGTATCCAAAATAAAAGTAGCGTTGTACGTCCTGTATACTATAGTATCCATAGCGTCAATTTTTTTAAAAACTGACATCTATGGACAGCTGCGATTATTTTTGTGAGTTTTGTACATGGAGTTGACGAACTATTTTACGTACTAAATACGAGATGGCAGAGTAACAAGCCTTGACGAATGGACTAATAATTATCTAACTTCAGTGCTTCAGTCTACTCCACACTCGGTGTTTTGTGAACAAGTGTTTTTGTAGTGCCAATGATTATGTCGTAAGTTTATTTAATATTTCTTAGATTTTATACATTATAGTAAACTAGATGATTTGGGCTTTATAATTACGTATACATATCACAGTTATAAGTGTAAAATCGAGTCATATTTTAAATTAAAAGTATAACTGTTTAAAAAAAATTGCCATTATGAAGTCGTCGGCCCAATTTTAATTTTGTTTACTTTGTTTTTCAGTAAAATTATATTTAAGCAACGAGTGATAGTTCGTAATAAAAATAATAATGCACTTTAACCCCTTCAGACCCAGCGTCCATTTCAATGGACACGTTTTATTATTGCATGAAATATGAGGTAGATTAATAAAAACGCTAGTGTAACATTTGATTGTACCGACCACTTACCTAGAAACGTTACGATAAACAAAACACCAAAGGATTTATTGTAGGTAAAATATATATAGGTCCATTGCAGTGGACATGGGGTCACAATAGTTGTATACCAAACGTATTTACAATAAAACTTTGTATTGAATTTTACATGTTATTTTTATTCCTTTTTAGGTTTTGATCTATCTAAAAGTCAAAATGTGGATAATTTACTCAATTTATTAGAAAACGGAACAATATCGGATCTCGAAGAATAGAGTGACGATGAAATTGTACAGGCAATACCACAAAAAAATGTTCGTGTAGGTAGTAACATAACGCTACCAACCGAAAGAGAGATAGGTAATCACTCTGAAGAGGAGGACGATATAGTAGAGGAAGAAGACTTAGAGGAGGTAGAATCTAGACCCGGATCAAGTAGTAAGCCTAAAAATGAAATAATTTGGAGAAAACATTTACAGCTTGAACCACCACAATTCATTTGGTCAGCGCCACCACCATCTGAAATTGATTCACCTCGCGTTCCCATTGATTATTTTTCTAAATATATATCAGAGTATCTAATTGAAGATTTTACATTCAATACAAATATGTATGTGGTGACAAATGAAGTCCGTAATTTCAAGCCATGTACTTCAACAGAAATGAAAATATTTTTCGGCCTTCATATCATAATGGGTAACCTAAAGTTTCCTCGTATACGTTTGTATTGGGATTCCAGTTTAGATATGAAAATATTTTTAGAGAACATGGCCAGAGATAGATTTCTTCAGATGAGAAACAATTTGCATGTAATTGATAACAATTCTATTCCACAAAATAACACCGATCGTTTTATCAAAGTTCGACCTTTATATGATTCAGTTAAAAAACGATGTCTAGAACTAAAATAAGAGCAAATATTGAGCGTTGATGAACAGATTGTACCTTTTCCAGGAAAACTTGAAGTCAAACAATATATCAAAGGAAAACCATAGCCATGGGGTGTAAAGATATTTATGATTTGCGTAAGAGTGGATTAGTTTATGATTTTATTATTTATCAAGGCGCAACTACAAATCTAGACAAAAATGACGTTTTGAAATATGGCACATCTGCTGCTTATGTAAATGCCTTGTCAAAGAGAATAAATAGGTCTGGTCATTACCTCTTCTTTGATAATTATTTCTCCAATTACGTTTTGCAGGATCTTCGCGAGAGGGAAATTTATGCAGGAGGAACGATCAGAATAAATTGTTTTGGAAAACCGCCATTCATAACTGACAAGGAAGGATCAAAAAAAGATAGGGGATATACTGATCAAGTTACGAATAATATTAAAGATGTGGTTGTTATCAAGTGGATTGACAACAAAGGTGTAGTACTTGCTTCAAATTTTGTTGGAATAGGAAATCAAGATGAAGTTCGACGATGGAATAAAATATCTAAAAATTACGTAACTATACCGCGTCCTGAACTTGTGCAATTATATAACAATGGTATGGGCGGTGTAGATAAAACTGATCATCTGATTAGTTTGTATTGAATCTTCATTAGATCCAAAAAATGGACATTGCGTATAATATTTCACGCCATTGACCAAGCACTAACCAATAGCTGACTGGAATACCAAGAAAATTGCAAAATCTGTAATATACCCAGTACAGACGTTTTGGATTTGTTGCATTTTTGGCAGCGCGTTGCAGAAGCTCTAATAAAAATGGGGCATCCAATTCCTAGCAGAAAAAGAGGACGGCCCGCATCTGGTGGTAGCAGTCCAGTAAATTCACCAGTTACACCAAAACAACACCGTTTCAGGACTGAAATAAGACCAGCGAGCGAAATCCAGTATGACACTGTCGACCATTTGCCAGAATATGATCAAAAGAAAGAAGCTACAAGATGTAAAAATCTAGGATGTAAAGGAAAGACGCATGTTTACTGTCTGCAATGTGAAATACATCTGTGTTTTACTGGAGAGCGAAATTGCTTTCGAAAATTGCATCAAAAACAAGAATAATCCTAACAGTGTAAAATGTTAAATAAAAAATAAACTATTATAATAATATTACATAGTTTTACTGACTTACTTCAAAATATTACTACAAAACATTTATTCATTAAATATGTATTAATACAACACTCTAAGCCTGATGTCCACTTGAGTGGACATCAAAATTTCCAAAAATCTGAAAACGATAAATCGCATATTTTTACAAAAATCCCTTAATTACACTTCTAACTCAAAGAAAAACCTTAACAATATTTTTATTGATGCTTTATATAAATTCAGGTCCGAAGGGGTTAAAAACAGAATTAAACTGTATTCACTGAAGATTCTTTAAAAATGTTATTGTGTTCCTCAGGTCTTTTGTTGTGGATAGTTTGGTATCCATGGACGTAACCACAATGGTTCTAAATAAGGGTCGGTACAAATAGCAAAATATGTTTGCAATATATTTTGCTTTGTTATTTTTTGCAGCCTGGGTTGGTTTGGGTTGAGTTTATTTTGCTTGGTGTTTCGTTACGCTCTTATCTCATAGTTTTTGTTCTTGTGTTATAATAATGTTATTTTTATTTACGATTGTCGACTTTTACTCTCTTTTTTATTTAACTTCACTTTACTTTTATGGAGGATGTGTTCTACGATTTCAACTCACTTGATTTTCCTTGTTATGTATTGACAATAATTTAATTCTCATATTTAATAAAAATCATTCATTTTTCGGTATATGGTTTTAGCTTGGCACAATTTGTTTAAAAAATGGATGACAATAATATGGTTTTGTGAACAAAAATATATATTTATTATGTCAATAAACTTGATTTTATTATTGGTGTTTAATTTAAAACCTCAACAAAAAAGAAACTCATAACTACATTTTTTTATGTTGCTTAAATTGCAAAGTTTACGAGACCTTAGATAGGCGGCCATCTTGCTTATATTTCGCCTTCGCGAGCGAATCGAAAGCGCTCGAGACCTCGCGGTAAAATTACGAGGAGTAGGTGTTTTGTTTCGATTTATTGAACTACTTAATTTTAATTAAATATAAACACCTATGCATCATAAGAAAAATAAATATGTCTAGTTTTTTGTGACATTGAATTATTTGTAAAAAATAGAATATTTCTTCGTTGTGGTGTAAATTAATAAAATTTATACGGTTATTTTTCTCCGAATTCAATATTCACACCTATTTTTAAATTATTATTTTAGATCTTAAAACATGCATTGGTTTAATTTGTATTCTTCTATCAATTTTTAGCTTTTTTTCTTTATTCTAGATATTATAGTTAAGTAGCTATGTAGGTTTTTTTCGTTACAACATGCGAGCGCATTAGCAGCCGAATCAGGGCCGAGGGTATCTGGACGTAAAGGGTACAAGAACCGCGCTGGCTGGACGCTTGAGTGCTTATATGTTATTTTGGTGGTGGTGTTGTGTACATTTACTGTAACTTTTCTTTGTTATTATATAAATATAATTAGTGTAGATTGTACAAGTATAAATAAAGTGTAAATAAAAAAACTTGTAAATATGTTTCGAATGAATTCTAGTACTTTGTGGGAGTTTTTTCAAAAACTGGATAATTGTATAGTAAAAAAATTGACGGCTCCGTGGCGCAGTTGCTTAGCAATGAGTTGTTGCGCTGGGGCCGCGGGTTCGAATCCCGCACGGAACAAGAATTTGTACGGCCAACAAATAATTGTTCCGGGTATGGATGTTTATCCTCGTGCAATTTATGTTTGTAAACTGTCTTCACGACAAAGGGAGAAAATCTTAGTGTGGGGGTAACGTTTTAAAAAAAAATAAAAAAGATAATGAAAAGAAAAGCGAAATGAAACAGTTGTGGTAAAGTTTATAGCTTCAAAACTTCAACTGCGAATTTGAAAACACATTTGAAGCGAAAACACCTCCATGAGTATACATGCATTTGTACCGCGCAAACAACGGCAAGGACCCCAGAACAAAGTCGTGGGCAGGAACCTTGAATTTCTATCTCTAACAACAGATTTATGGACGTCTCGGGTCAACGATGCTTAAATTGGTGTTACGGGGCACTATATAACAAAAGATTATGTTCTTAAAGCAGTGCGAATATGCTCGAAACGACCAAGGGGTGGAATGTAACAAATATAATAAATTTTATTGTTAGTGACAACGCAGCTAACGTCAAAAAAGCTATAGCTGATATAGGGTGGAAGCATTACGGATTCTATGACCATACGTTGAACTTAATAGTGGAAGATGCCCTGAATTTAGTTAAAGCTTCTTTGGATAAAGTTAAACGATCGTTCGACATTTTAAGACAAGTACAGCAGCCCTAGAAAAATTATTAAAAGCGCAATCACAGGAAAAGCCGGACGTAACACCGAAGCGCTTGATACAGGAAGTACCAACTAGGTGGAACTCTACGTTTGCTATGTTACAGCGATTTGTTGAACTAAAAAATGATATGTGCCACTGTTCCAATTCTTACAAAAGATTTACCAATCTTAACTGTCGAGGAATGGCCAATATTTCACGAACTGTGCAAGATTTTAAAACCTTTCAACGAAGCTATGAAAGCTATGAGTGGTGAAGATTATATGACAGCTAGTACCATCATAGTGATGACATCGCTGTCTTAGAGAATCTTGTGACTTTTCCTGGAAAACGTTTACTGTTACAACAAATAATGTAATTACAGCACTTCGGACAGGTTTATATAAAAGACTAGAAGATGTTGAAAGAAGTGGCTTGTTCTCGATATGTACAATTTTAGACCCAAGGTACAAAATTTATGTGTTCTCTGACACAAATGAGGCAGCAAATCCAAAGAAAATGCTGGAAGAGATACTTGCAACTGATATTAGACGGCGATGACACGGAGAGAACCAACCGCAACAATCCACTTCAACCTCAGCTTCCATACCGGTAAGAAATAAATTTTCACCTTGGTCCATTTTAAGCAGCACTGTCCATTTTAAGCAATATTGTCGGGACGCAGCAGCAGCAAGTAGGCATTTACCTTCTTCCTTCCTTCATCCTCTTCCTACCTTCTACGACAAATGTGTGTGCCATGAAGGAAGTAGACTTACTTAAAAAATAACATTCTACCTATAATTAACGAGAGTGGGAAATTTAACTGTCCATTGCAATTACGGCTACCTAATCACCACATTTATCCCAACCTTGCCATACTTATACACTAGTATGACAACATAATGGCAACTTCAGTTCCGTGCGAGAGGATATTTAGCAAGACAGGGCTCACGATTAATAACCGCCGCACACAATTGAAGACACACAAACTTGCCCAATTGATGTATTTTAAAGTTAACTTAGTTCCAAAAAGATTTTAGAAGGTGTCATGAACTCGTTTATTCATAAAATTAAAATAAAACTTAAAAATGTGCAGAAAAAATTTAAATGTGTATAAAATTATAACACTTAAAAACTGTGTGTAAATAGCCAAACAAATACACAAACTAATTATACAGAGTAAATAAAAGTGCAAAAACAAATGACAGTGGAAACGTTGAAAAAGTGTAAATAAACTGTAAAATATCAATAATCATTGTATATACAATCATATTGACTAGTAAATACGCCTGCATTAATAATTTTATGAAAATCTTAGTTTATAGTAAACACAAATCAATCGTAAATACATTTAATGCAGTCAGTCCTAAGCCTGAATAAAGTATGAAGGGAAGTTAATTTATTGATTTAACTGTATAGCCACAAACACTTAGATAGTGACTAAATTTATTTTCGTTTCGTGTGTAACTGTATAGTTGGTGGTGGTATTTATGCAAACAATCACAGTAGCCGAATAAAAATAGCCAGTTACAAAAATCATTAGTTTTGAAACAGGTAACGCCGACCAAGTCACTGGTTTCGTTACGTTTCTTGAAAATGACCCACGTCTA